CATCTATTAATTAGAATATGACCTCAGGAACTCGAGACCTGCTACATTATCTATATTTGACTAATGCTGTAAGGTTAACAGGAAAAACTTTTTTATTTTTGAAAATCACCTTATTATTTTTATTGACACTTAATAGTTTATTTAAATTTGAATTTTTTTTAATTTTCGTACGAATCATTAATTTTTGAAGTCTAGCTTAAAACCATTTTCTAAAATAAATTCCATTTTCTGTTGTTTTCGAAAGCTCATTACATTTCTAAAATCAAGCTACAATATCGGATTAGTAGTCTGTTCTAAATATAATTAATAAATAATTCTGAATATGATAGTTACCTCGCGAATCGAATTGGCATTTGAATAAATCTATTTATCTACAGTCAATATCCGAAGTAACAATTTTTAATTACGAAACTAATTTATTTTCTATTGTTTACTTCGTCGGATATTACCGTGTTTTGCACAAAAGCTAAACTTTTCGTGCACTTTAACACGGAGTGGTAGTCATGTATGAAAACGCTGTTAATTTCGAGATAAAAAGTGCAATTAACAGCGAAAATTGTACTGAATTGTATCACAAAGATGCTGTCTAAATAGCAGCGAAGACCCGTTTCCTGGAAACGGTTCTTGTGATGATTTCTCTTGTTCAACTATGCCACGTGTTACATCATCAAAATGCTTTACTTAACCTATACAACTAAGTATGTTATAAAAACATAGTGAACGTTGCAAAAAACTTATTCGTTAAGTATATACATGGCTGCAAGTATGTATATTAGTCCAACATCCCAGAGCCGTCAGACATTCCTTATTTTCTGAGTAACAAAATGGTAGGAACTTTTCTTAAAGTCTGAATGTTGATTTTTACATAATGTTTCGCAGAATATTGTTAAAAAATAATAATTAACACTGGCAAGCACTTCCCATCGGCGGTAGTTCCTGCCAGACCCTTCAATGTTCCCAAAAAAGATGATGGGAATAATTTCAAATTAATATTGCATATTAATCCACTATTAATAACTAACAATGTCATAGGATTTCATATATTTAATATATATATAATTGAATTAANATATAATTAAGATAATAAAAATCGACGGATCGTTACCCTTGTAGGTCGGTTGGTCGTGGTTGCTGTTGTCACCTCTCGTAGTTTAGTGGTAGAACATTGGTGCGTAAAGCCAAAGGTCCCGGGTTCGATTCCCGGCGGGGGTGTGACAACAGAAACAATTTTTCCCTCATTAATTTGAGGTAGTTTGTAGTGGGTAAATTAAAAATCGAAAAAATGATTTCGAATTAATATAGAAAATTTATAGAACATTTGTGACTAAAATAAGTTGATCACTTTTAATCATCATATCTCTCATACCATCACAGCTGCCGACATGTAACTACCATAATTGCGGTGGTTGTGGTTACAAACTGAAATATGCGGACACACATCGATTCTTATTTATATGTACATTGATTACTTCAATTAACGTTATTTCGTGCAGATAATGAGTATCTTCGTTATAGCAGGAAAATCAATGCTTTCCAAGTTTCACTGCTAACAGATTTCACTCTCTAGCGTGCCCATTAAACGTACATACATAGAAATATTCATAACATTTCCATTCATTTTTTTATTTACAATGTAAACAACCTAAAGCAGTAACAAAAAAAAAGATGGTGGAAACCAGAAGCAACATGTGCTCAAAAACTGGTTCGTTTTCACAGGTTTTCATCCTATAGTCACACGCATGCAGAGAAAGCACACTTTCTCCCCTTCGACAGCAAACACACACAAATAATGTAAATTAAGGAACTCAATGAGGAATTCGTCATTTAGCAATTAATTGTGGTAATTAAATTCAAGAACAACGTTTTATTGCCCAGGAGATCACCATTTTTATCGGATAGTTAAACGCGTCGTCCGTGCAGGATAATTAAACATGCCGATGCCTGGTAGTAAGTAATCTAATGCGATGTGTCTCATTTACTTTAGAAAGTGTTATCACTTGGTAAGATAATTTTTACGAAGTGACTACGAGAAACTTTTACGGTTAACGCTTTTCTACTGATACGTGCGTAACATACATAACAAATGAATTCCGACTGAAACAATAGTTCGTTCATCCGTTAAAAGAATGATTTATTGTTATTACTGCAATCGAAGTCTTAATACAACAATAAAGTTTCATTATGTAACGTGATTGGTACCAAATAAGCGGGGTGACCGACATTTCTTTCGAATTTCCTGGGTTGTTTTACTCCATTGGTTCACAATTCGGAAATGGTTCGGAAAATAGTTATTTAATAGATTCATCATCATAATCAGAATCAAAATATCGTCAGTTCTAAGACTGATTGGACACGCACCTCCAGTCTTTCCTATCCTATTTCTTGGAGTCCCCTGCTTTCCTATTCTTTCTAATACGTCTTCAGTTCTAAACTTTATCCACGGTATCCTTATAATTCGTCGGTAACACCACATTTCCAACGCTTCTAACCTTTTATTTTCCGCCGCTCCCACTGTCCATGTTTTGCACCCGTACAGCGCCACGCTCCAAACACATATTTAACCATCTTTTCAGAATTTCTAAATTAATCGTTCGCCAACATAGAAGTTACTTCTTTTTATTGAAGGCAACTCAACCCTGCGCTTTCTTCTGCTTTATATCCCTACTACTCCTTCCTTTCTGACTTATCTGACTTCCTAGATACCTAAAATCAGCCACTTCTAATTTTTCGTATCTTTATATTCGCTCTTTCCCTACTTTTTCTTCCCTTACATACCTGCGTTATTGTTTTACTTTTATTTATTTTCATACAATACTGTTTTGTCAATAACGCTTCTATTTTATTTAAAACTATTACGAACATTTAAAAATTATTGCCAAATTGGTCCAGGTGTCTTTAAATGATGCGCTTATCAACGGACAGCGTTTATTTTTTATATAAAATAAATATAAATAAAGATACCGCAAAAGTGTAGGTACCTGATACACGAAATCCCAAAACTTCTTTATTACAATAATATTTTATATTGTCCCTGTGACATTTTTGGAATATCCTGTTGAATTAGTGTAACATTCCAATCCACTTACTAATTTTACGATTAATGTGGTAAATTTTTAAATGTTGCTGCACGAATTTATGATCTTTTCTGGTACTCAAAACCTTCAGTTTTGAATTACCGAATTATTATTGTCACTTCACTGGATTATTACAATAAATATATATAT